ACCACGACGAACGCAAAGTTGCAACACGCGTTACTACACCAGCTCACGAGCGCCAATGGCATTTTTGTAATAGTCTCTAGCATCCATCACGATAAATTCGACCACGGCGAACGCAAAGTTGCAACACGCGTTACTACACCAGCTCACGCGCGCCACTTCGTCTTAACCAAATCCTAACGCGGTTCTTCTGATTTCTACTTAGATTGAAGTTTGATCTAAATTTCTACTTTGAAGAACTTGAAGATTTGGATTTCCTTTACTGTCTAAGGCTCTGAGCATTCTGTTGGGCAAGTACGCATTAATAGCAAAATTGGAGTATTCTAACCATCGGAGAAGCTGCAGATATTGCTTGCTGCGCTTTCAATTACTCCAACCTACAACGTATCTGGGAGGTATATGTTCATTTCTAGAATGATTTCATGAAGTTACTTATTTGAAATTTTAGAATTGAATTTTGTTCTTTCTAACCAATTAAATCAGATTGTGGATGATGTGCAGGCGAGATGCAAAGGTGGGCAAGTGAAGAGGCTAAAAAACTGAAACATTATTTTGGAGTGGTTTTGTTAAAGTTAGAAACCACGTTGGCTTAATTTAAAAACTGATCAAAGCAGGCTTTTATTTTTATTCTCCGCCTTGCGGGGAGGTAGATGAACCCAGCTCTTGTTTTGTCTCATAATTACACTTCGCTTTTATTCTTTTTCTTTTTTCCTTTTTAATTCCAGGTCTGATGTGTTTTTCTCCAGGATACCCTTTCATTACGCGTTTTTGAAGAGTGTAGTGGTAGTGGTAGGTTTTTTTTTTTCTTTTTTTTTTCTGAACTTTCGACTTTCTTGTCCATTAGGCGATGCTAGCTTGCAAATATGGTGGAAGTGGTGGGTCAATTCCGCGTTTTCTTAATTATTACTAATTCTACGCGTTTTTTAAGGGGGTAGCGAAGCTTCCTTTATTTATATTGCAATACGCGTTTTCTTCCTTTTTGACCATTAAGCAATGATAGCTTGCAAATATGGTCTAAGTGGTAGGTCATGCCGCGTTTTCTTACTTATTATTAATTCTACGCGTTTTTGAAGGGAGTAGGGAAGCTTCCTTATATATATATATATATTCCAATACGCGTTTTCTTCTTTTCTGACCATAAGCAATGAAGCTACTGGGAAACAGCCCTACTTGGGTGGGTGGGGTTAGGCAGCCCTAGTGATAGTGCGGTGGGTGGGTGAGTGGGTAGGGTTAGGCAGCCCTAGTGATAGTGCGG